CGGGTAGGTCGGGTAGTCCCTCTCATTGTCCTTTGCCGCATTTCCCCCAGATACCAGTGGGTGGCAATATTGGCCTCCTCCTGCATGGCAAGAAGGGCCCGGCAGATCAGCGGATCAGCAAATCTGTTAATAGGAGCATTCAGTGATATCAGCGCCCAGGCCCTGCACTAAGCACCTTCAAGGTATTTATCCCACTCCCTATTTGGGATAGCCTTGGGAAACAGGTACTACTGCTCTCCCTACGTTCCACACAAGGAAATTGAGGCACAGAAAGGTGAGAAGACTTACTCATGATCACACAGCCAATTTGGGGCAAAACCAGAATTATATTTTGTGTCAGAAGCTACACTCTTGCCGGCCTGGTGGCCCGCGCCTGTAATCCCCGCACTCAGGAGGCTGAGGCAGGAGGATTGCCATGAGTTTGAGGCGAGCCTGGGCTACAAACTAAGTTCAAAGCCTGGCTGAACTACATAGCAATGACCCTGCCTCAAAAGAAAAAAAAAAAAAAAAAAAGAGAAGAGAAGCTCTACTCTTACTGCTCCCCATCTACTCTGTCAGGCAGCATTTTGGGGGCACAGTCTAAGGCCAGAGCCCAGGAGGCGCTGCACACTGGCTGCCTGAGGAAGAGAAGCAAGGAAGTGTAGCCAAAGCAGGCATGGGCAGCAGCCGGGCTGGGGATATCTAAATCGGGAGGGAATCACGAGGAACTGACCTCAGGACTAGAGCTAAGGCAGGCAGCTGGGGCAGGACTAGAGTTGAGGAAGCCATAGCGGGGAGGGGGTGCTGTGCCTGGGGACAAGAATGCCGATGCTTCCTCTCCCACTGCAGGACAATCCGGCCTTTTCTGGGTTGCTTCTGCCCCCACAGCGTGGTTGAGTCACTGCTGCCCACTGGCTGGGCTTCTCAGGCAGATAGGAGCTGGGCATGCAGCACTGAGGGGGGTGCCCGGCCCAGTGCAGTGCCTGAGGGGATGGATCAGACAAGGCTGCCCAGTGTTAGGACCAGCCAGCAGCTCACTTGGAAACAGCCAGGATTGGTTTCAAATATTTTGTGGCTACAGAATCTGAAGGAAGAAGTACCCGAAGCACCAAACAGAGCTTCCTCTTGGGAGACTGGACCCGTGCTCAGCTTTCCTAAGCAGCTGCTACTGCACAGCTCTGATGAGTGGGGACTCCTTCCCTCCTGGAGGAGGTGCCCTGTGGTGAGACAACTGTGTCGTCTAGAACGTTCCATAACCTAGTTACGCATCCTTGGCTACTCGGGCATGCAAGACAACTTGGCCCCTCCCCCCAGCTCTTTAGAGACCTGAGGCGGTGACCAAGGCCCAGGCTTGTTCTTTGCCAGACTGAGCAGTCAAGCTCTTCATTGGTCCCTCCAATCTCCAATCGTGGCGGAGTTCTGCTAATCCAATTTGGGGTATTTGTTACAGCAGCCTTAGGAAAGTAAGACGGCCCTCTTGCCATGATAGCCAGATGATGGGTACTGACCATCCACAGGAACCTTACAGAATAGATGTTAAAATGCTTCTCAAATCCACATAAGGACAGCCTACATTATCTCTTAAAGGGTATCTGAAACCATCCATTGCCTTTTTTTTTTTTTCAAAAAAATAAGGGCAAATGAGAAATGTATACTGCTGCGGGATGACTTAGGTCTCCAAGTGCCGACCGAGCGCCTCAGATAGTGTGCACACCTGGAGCAGATTTGGAGGCAGGGCTTCAAAGGAGGTGATTAAAGTACACTAAGGCTACTAGGCCCTAACCCAGTATAACTGGTGTCTTCATAAGAGGAGAGGAGAGCAGGACACAGACACACACAGAAAAGCTCATGCGAAGACACAGGGAGAAAATGACGGTCTACACGCCAAGGACACAGGTCTTGGGAGAAACCAACCCTGCCCATGCCTTGATTTCAGACCTGCTACCTCCAGAACTATGAGGAAATAAGGTTTTATTGTTTAAGCCACCAAGTTCATCCTACCTTGCTGCAGCAGCCCGAGCCCCTACATCCCCTCAATCACCAAGTCCCCTAGGTACTGCCTGGAAAGGAACTCAGAAACCTTCCTTCCCAAATCCTCAAAGGTTCTTGTGGGTGGAACTCTTATGGAGAGTCAGACAAATAGAGCGGGCCCCCGGGGTGGTGGTTGTGGAGCTCAAGTCTGGGAGTCGAAATGGAATTGGGAGAGCCCGCGTGGAGCCTGCAGCCCATACGGTGGCCAGCAGGGACGCTCCCTTTCTATCCTCAGGGGTCTTCCAGGTGGCATGGAGGAACAGCTCTTAGCAGGCCTGGATTGGGACGGTGCTCAATCCAGGCAGCAACAACAGAGTGGTGGCGCTCCCTGCAGCATTCGGCACGAGGTACAAGGAGGTATTGATGCTCTCTGGCCACAGACAAGAGAGCACCATTATCTGCCTGGACACCCAGGGCTCAGAAATCAGGGCACATCACAGCCCCGCCTGGAGTGACATCAGCTGTACTCAGCCAGCCCTTGCCCTGTCGCCCCATTGCCAGACCCACCCTGGTCGGCAGGCTCCACCAGTCAGGCCAGTGTAAAACCATCTGACCAGCTCACAGGCCAGAAGCAGCTCTTGGCACCCACTTGGCCCCCTGGCTCCCACAGGGCCAGGCACACACAGCGTCCACTTGGTCCCAACTGCCCAATCCACGTTGGTTCTGTCTCCATCCAGCTTGGCAAAGAAGGCACATGTGAGCCTCCTTCCTGGGCTCGTTGCACTTGGCCAATTTACAGGAGTGCCATGAGCAGCTCAGCGATGGCAGGCAGCCACTCTAAAACCCTAAGGTTGGTACTTTCTCTTAGGGTATTGTTCCACCACCAAGCTCAGTAGTGCAAGGGTTAAGGTGACACAGATAAGTACTAAACAGACATGAGCCAAGCATTCCCTCCCTGGAGGCCGGGCTGCTTTGCTTCTTTCAGCCCTGGGACATCCAACCAGATGAGCCCTTACCGATTTCAGCACCTCATCCTGTCCCTGGGCATGTGGGCATAGTGACCCTTGGGCCCAGTAAGGGAGGTGGCCTTACAGAAGCCCTCCAGTGACTGAATGGCAGCAGAGACACCTGATTGACTACCTGCTCAAGCCAGGAGTAGACAGTGCTGGGGCAGGTGGCTCCTGGCTCTTCTCCGAAGGCCCATCCTCATCCACCACCTCAATCCTGTGGGCAGAGGAGAAACTGTGCTGGGGTCTTCCCGGCTGCCTTGGAGCGTACTGCTCCTCTGACGCTCGTGCCTCCAGGGATAGCCACCTGAGGTGAGCGAGTGGTTGCCCAGCCACTCTCGTTCAGGATTTGGACAGTGTACTGGGCTGAATGTGTCCCCCCCTAATTCGTGTCCCCCTGGAATCTGTGACTCTGAACTTATTTGGAAATAGGGTCTTTGGAGATGTAATCAAGGGGATATAATGAAATCACAGTGAAACGGTGAGGATGCAACGTGTACATGCACAAGTTCTCCACGACAAACACACCCGTCTACTACCACTACTGCTCTTAATGATAATAACTTTCTGCTGGATTCTAGGCTAGTGGTTCCCAGTTGGAAATTCAAATCACTTGCTTATGGACTTCTATTAACACACACATTTCTGACCTTCCCCTACCACCACTTTGATTCTGGTCAGCTGCCAAATCTCCGGGCTGTCAGTATGGCCCTAAATCCAAGACCAATGTCCTGTGAGGAGGGCAAGCTGGACGGAAACACAGAAGGGCCATGTGGAAACAGGGGCACAGACAGCAGTGCTGCAGAAAAGCCAAGACACACCAAGAGCTGCCAGCAGCCACCGGCCGCCTCGAGAGGGCCTGGGATGCTCTCTCCCTCGGTGCCCCTAGACGGAAGCAACCCTGCCAGCACTGATCTCACGATGCTGGTCCCCAAAGCTAGGAGATAAGCAATTTCCGTGTTTCAAGCCACTCAGATTGTGGGGCTTTGTTACAGCAGCTCCAGGAACCCAATACAGTCGGTAAGAACACACCATTCTCTGCCACTTTCTTTGTGCTGCCAACCCCCTGCTCACTGTTCCCACTGCGGCCTCTGGCCTTGGCATCCCTAGGTCCTCAGCCTGGGACACTTGGCACACTCACTCCTCCTCGGTTTTCAGTTCTCAGGTTGTTATGACACCATATTTTGAAGGTTTTCCCTTTCCACCCAACTAAAGGCCCACAAAATCCAGCCTTCCAGAAGCTTCTTCACTCTCCCTCCAATATTTTCCTCCCTCAGAAGGTGCCCTGTGGCAACTAAGGACAGTGTCCTGACAGGGTGATTCTCCTCTGTTTAACCCTGCTTATCCTTTAGGACCCATCTCCAACGTTACAGTCACCTCCCAGGGCATGTCTCTCAGTGGCCCTGGTGCTGGTCCTGGGTCAGGCCCCAGCCTGGGCGGGTGGTAAGTGGAAGAACTCACCCACAAGCTGAATGTTTGCAGTCAGGCTCCCACCTGCACCAGATTGGCTACTGGGACTGCACGGGCCACTACAGTCCCCCAGGAGCTCTCGTGACCTCCAGACAGAAGCCTGAGCAGACTCTCCCAACTCTGCCTGCTCAAGGATAGCAGTCACCGACCCCTACCTCCCCTGCCCCTTACCTTGGTGACAGGAGGCCAGCAACAGGCTTCCAAAGCTTCCCTTAACACCACTTACCTTTTCGCAAAAAATGGAGCCTGTGTCTCCTGGGTAGGACTAATGGAAAGGAAAGAGAAAGGCACCATGTTGGGCAGAATCCACGGACAGGTAACATCTAACCCATTGTACCCAAAGGGTCCTGGGTCTCTCTCCTGGCCCTGGCACCTCAGCTGCGCTGATGCTAGCAGTCCTACCTTGTCTTTTATAGAAAATGCATCTCAGAGTCTGAGAAGGTCCAGCTAGGAAGTTCAGTCGGGGTATCTCTCACCCACCCTTCCACCTGGCAAAGAAGACTGGCACCCCAAGGAGAGGGGAGTGGCTCCTGAGTATGGAGCCAGCTGTGACCCAGCTCAGCCAGGCTCGGGGGCCAGGCCTCCTGCCCTGCAGGGCCTCCCTGCAGCGAACTCACCCGGTGCTCTTCTTGGCTGCCGACAGGACGTAGGAATGTTCCCGGGGGGCGGTCTTTCTCAACACACTGCTCGCAGCCTCTGACCTAGGGCAGCATGGGGTGGGGTCAAACTGGACACACTCCGCTGGCCTGGCCTGGGGTGTCCTCAGGTCCACTTGGGTCCACCCAGGGAAGCTGAGGGAGACAAGCATCTCAACCCAGGGAGCATCTGCTCTGAGGACTCTTCAAAGGAAGTGTGGCACATGAGGGACCTGCTCATGCTCCGCGCCCCCAGGATACCCTACAACGTGAGCGCAAGGTGGAGCTGCTCCACTCCCACATTTGCAGAGCATGAGCACTGTGCCCACCCTGGCCTGGGTGCCACCATCCCAACCCAGCCTCCCTGATGCTCCCCACCCAGGGGATTAGGAGCTGCTTCCCCCCACAGTTCATAGACTCGGCCACTGAGGTTGGGGCTCTAGTGACTTGCCCAAGGGCATATGCCTTGTAGATGGCAGAGCAGACGTTTGATGCCAGGGAGCACCAGAGCTCCTGGTTCTTTGCCCTACACTAGCCAGGCTTGGGACCTCTGCCACCACAGACTCTTTCCTTTATCGCCCATCTTCCAGACCCCTCAGCACAGGCCACTGTTTCTTGAGCCACAGATGGCTTGGCAGACACTGGCTCACAGCTGGGCCTTAGTTGGCAGGTGAGGGACATTCAAAACTCCAGAGCCTAGCATGCAAAGTCTTCCGGGACTCTGAATGCACAACACACACACACACACACACACACACACACACACACAGAGGCCACTGTGCATGTGGCCTCTCTCAGGGCACCTGACTCTGCTACTTTTGTTCAATTTTCCCAGGATTCTTTCAGCAAACCAATAGAAAGTCCTGCAGAACCTATGAATCCAGCTTTTTCCTGGTGCTACATCAGCTAGCTTCAACTCCATGGAAGGTTTTAAGGGGGTGCCCCGAGCTGGGTGGGTTTGAGACCAACGGGACAGCACCTGTTCCCACACCCCATGAGCCACTGCTGAAGGACCCATGCGTTATGCATTTTGTCACCTGAATGGTACAATGCCTTCCAGCAGTGTGAAAAGGCTTAGGCCTCTGGCCCACCATGGGGATGCCCACAGTGGGCACGTTACCTCCTTTTCTGCTCATCCGAAGAGAAGGGCACCTCCAAGTCCTCCACAGTCCCTGATATGGAGCTGCGCCTCACGTTGTAGGGTGCCCTGGGGGAGGGGAGAGGTATGACTCTTCCACCTGCCCTACCCTCTGCTCCCTGTCACTGGCTGTGACCCTCAGCACCTAATGTCCAATGCCGCTCACACACGCTGGAATCAAGGCCTTTGGCCACCTCCTTCTCTGTGACAGCCAGTGCTCCTCTCTCCTGTTCCAATCCTAGCTGCCCCTCAAGACCCAGTTCGAGTCCCACTCATCCCCTAGAAAGATTTGCCAGCTGCTCCGCTATGCCGGATAATAGGGGCAAGGCGCAACAATATCAAGAGGTGGGGCCCCTAGGCATGGCAAGCACAAACCCACAGCCCTGTCCAGAGTCGCCTTCCTTGGTCAACCAGGGTGGGGCGATTGAAAGGGACTTCAGAGGGAGATCTAGGGGGAACCCAAAGATTTATACCCAAGAAATAGTTCATATTTAGGCACAAAATGCCCAGGTCAATAGACTGTCAGGCCCAGTGACACCCTGAGGATCATCAGGACCCCAGCCCAGCTCCCTCACCCTCTGCTGGGCTCCGGGCCACAGCTCCCCTGGCAGGGGATATCAAGCTCATGGGAGTTGCTCTGCCCAGACTGTGCTGAGAGGCAAGTGGCCCATTGCCCTCAGCAGACCCAGTGTTTGGGCTTGTCCCTCAGGGGAGGGGACCGAGCTGGGTCTGAAAGCGCATACTCACAGCTTCTTGTAATCCTCCGTGGTCATCTTGTAGCCGGAGATGGGGGAACGGGGAAGACCGGTGTTAGCTGCTTTCGTCAGACCAGCAGCACTGGAAAGTTAAGAAGTGTCCATGAGTCCACGTACAGGCCCCCCTCACCTCCACATTTGCCCACATGACCCACCAGGGATGTGACACGTGGCCTGAGGGTAGTGGGAGCTTTTCCAGTTTGCTTTCAATGCTGCCAGGGTCCCTGATCAGTGCAGCCCCGCGCCCACACATGTGCGCACATAGGCAGCCCCAGCAGAGCATCAGGAAAGAGCCCGGTGGGGCTCACCTGGGTGTGTCTGCTTCCTATCCCCCAGCCCCTTTGACCTTTCTTTTCTGATGGAGCCCCACTTCCGCCTGATGCCGAGGTGCTTGGACAGATCCATGCTGTCAGCAAGTGCATGGTGCCAGCTGCCGGGTCTGGGCCATGGCCCTCCCTGTCCCCTCCCTGCGCCTCTCTGCCTCACTGGCCAGAGCCAGTCAGAAGAGGCCCTCTCCGACACGGACAGGCAGGGCCCTCTCTGACACGACTCTGGACCAGACTCTGCTACCTTCCCATGAGCCACCCATTACTATACCTTTTTGGAGCCCCATTGGTCTTGGGGAAGTGGCGCTGGGGCTGGCACGAGCTGTCTATAGGCTTGGTGAACACTCCCCTACGAGAGAGCCCAGAAGACACAACGCTGAGAGGTCAGGGCGCTGTACAGGTGGCGTAGGAAGGCAGGCAAGGTCCTGCAGTCACTTACCGGATGATGTAGCCAGTGGACGCCCTTGTGCTTGGAGACCTGCCGAGGGAAACGGGCGTGCAAAGGGAAGCAAGGCCTCGCTGGAGGGCCGGGCTGCCCTACTTCAACCTGCCCCTGAATACAATCAAAGCAGCTGGCTTCTGGGGGTCCCAGGGTAGGTAGCAGAAACAAGGGGACTTAGCCGCCTCCTCGTCCCTAGCCCAGTTGCCAGCTCTGCCCCACCTCTTCCCTTCTCCCCCGGGAAGAGTGCCCCACAGCTGACTCCTCTATGGCCAGGCTCACTGCGGCCCTGACTCTGAACAGGTCCCCAGGAGGGCATGCTCCATGACTGCAGAGGTGTCTGTCCCCTTCAAAGTCCAGCTTCCCTCAGCCCTGGCATTCTCGAGGGGGAGCTCTTCTCGGCCCTGCTTGCTGACGGCCCTCCTGGCCTCTGCTCCCAGAGCTGACCTGGTTCAGGCCAGAGGTTCCCTGCCTGGAGGCCTGGCTTCCTCTCCCACACAGCCAGTGTCCTCCAGGAAGGCTCAGGCGAGCCTGGGCCTCAGCCAGCCAGGGCAGCACCCTGATTCATTCCCAGCGCCTCAGGGTGGCGTTTCCAAATGCACCCCAAAGCAAAGCTCCAGTTAAGAACTGCGTCCTCTGAAGTCCACTAGCTCTGTGAGTTGTAGACTGTCTCTAAATGAGGCGGTCCCCAAACCTTGCCAGCCTTACCCATAACACCTGTCCCAATTTGCAAGCCTCTATTTTGCCTTTGTCTCTTTACATGGGTTATGCCTATGTCCCTCGAATAGATATCAGTCCCCTGAGGAAAGGGCCTGGGACGTGACCTCGGGACGTGGCAGTTTGTGGGCACTGAGTCATTAAGGGATGACAGGCAGGCCCATAGTTACTGGAGGCTGTCCAGTGGCTCAGGTGCTGTCACCACCTCTACCACCACCTGAGGAGCATCCATAGTGAAGCTGTCACCAACTGCCAACAGCATGGTGAGGAGCAAGCTGGTTTCTCAGAGCCCCCTGGACACTGTATGGAAATGTCTTTCAAAACATGAAATGTCTTCAAAACAGCACAATGTGCACTAGGGCACAGCTGGAGCAAACGTGTGAGTACCCATCTGCCTGCCTTTCCCTGTCACGGGGAGCAGCCCATGCTGCAGCCGAGTCCCCAAGGCCCACCTCCAGGCCACCAGGGCATCACTTCTTACCTGGCCTTTGAGACCTCCCGAGGTGATGAAAAGGATGTGGCGCGACTCCGGCTCGAGGGCAGCTCACTGGGGAAAGAGGGGTCCTGAAAAGGCAGCTCCCCCATCTCCGCCACTTGTACCCTACGGCTTCCGTCTGTGAAGCTGCCTGCTGAGTGCCACCATGTGCACCCCACCTTCTTCCCCGCCCACCTCCACAGCTGTGCATGGGCCCGCATGCCCTGGCACCTGGGTCTCCCTGCTCTGCCTTTGTTCAGGGCTTGCCCTTAGCCTTCCTGTGCTCTGAACCCCCGGCTGGCCTGTGGCCCCATGACCGGCTGACCTCCCCTCTGCTTCCCGGGTACAGCTGGGCCCCATGGGTCGTGACACCAGCCCTCGAAATTGCTGCCGTCCCGTCCCTCCTGGCACCCTAGACTTACATGGTGCGGCCCTCAGACTCATCCTGCTTGGTGATCCAGCTCTTGTCGCCCTTCAGTGTGGTGCGTACTTTCATCTGCTTGAGGACATTATTGCGTTCCTCCTCTCCTGGCAGCAGAGGTTTCCCTGGCAAGGGCAAGGCCAAAGAGCCTCAAAAGGGGGCGTCCCGTGCAGCCCTCCCAACATGCCACTCCTGCCCTGCTGCCTGGGAGGCTCTCGTGAGTGGCCTCCCAGGGCTGCACTCAGAGTCCAGCAGGCACACGAGGGCAGGGCACAGGCCTCACCTTTGGGGCTGCCTCCCAGAGCAGAGATACTCATGGCGTTGCTCTACCAGTCCCTTCTCAGTCGATCCAGCGGGGCTCCTGGAGATACAGGAAAACACGAATGGCTTGCGAGTCACTGCTATGGTGTGGATGGGGTCTGTCCCCCAGGGCTCCCACGTTGAAAGCTCAGTTCCCAGCGTGGGATCTTTGAGAGGCAAAGCTTAATAGACAATAATTAGGTCACTGGGTCACTGACTTAGGAAGGAATTCACAGGACCCTGGCTCACTTGTGGGAGTGGGTTCTTTCAAAGAGCCAGCCTGGCCCTGCCCGATCTCTCAGCAGCTTCCTGTCTCACCATGTGAGCTCTGTCTCTCACATGCTCTCCTGCCATCAGCCAAGAGGTCCTCCCCAAAGTCACACGGACACCAGTCCCATACCTCTGAACCTCCAGAACAGGGAGCTAAGTAAATATCTTTTCTCTATAAAGTACCCATCTGCTGGTGTTTCATTATAGTAACATAAAACAGACTAATTCGATCATCATGTGGTCCCTAGCACACAAAGGTCATTCAGACTTGCCTTTGGGCACTGGGGGTGGTAAGAGCTAGTGGGCTCCCAAATGGAGAACAGCAGCCAGGGATCAAGCACTCGCTGGACCTGTCACTGCCAGGTGATATGCCCACCCATTTGCCCAGGGCTGCTCAGAGGCTGCCAGGGACTGTCTACTCAAGTGAGTCACTAATAAGGGCAGACTACGAACCTTCCAAAGAGTGCTAATGGCTGGACCCAGAGCCTCCACAGTGTCCCAGGGGCTGGGGAGGTGTTGGACCGGTGCCCGGGGATTCTGAGGGTGGGGCTGGAGACCATCTCAGGCAGAACACCTTCAGTGCTGCCAGGTGGCCTGGGAGAAAGCCAAGTGCTTGGGGAAGCAACTGCTTTGGGGTTGAACCATCTTCTGCGTTTCTTAGAAGCTGCTGGAAAGACCTTGGCAGGTCAGCTAACCTCTGTGGGCTGCTTCATTTTGCTCATTTGTGAAATAAGCTTTTAAAGGTATAATTTTAGGGCTGCTGTAAGAACAGGAAAAATCCATGGGCAGTTGGAGAAGAGCTCTTTTCTTTGCTGGAAGGGGGACAGGCAGTGGTCTCCAACCAGTACAAGAATGGTTTTCCTTCTTTGTCCCCTCTACAGCCTGTGGGGTGGGACCAGTAAGGGGTCTTCTCTGGGGCCTTCATGGTGCCATGAGGGCTGAGTCGAGGAGGCCAGCTTTCCAGGTAGGGAGCAACCCAGAGCCATAGGGAGACAAAGGTCTCGTAGCTGCCCTGAGTGGCCACAGATGAGCTTGGCCCTCAAGGGAGGGGTTGGGGGCTCAGGTGTGCGGGCATGGCAGGAAGCAGGGCCTGCCAGTGCGATCACAGTTCTGGTGCAGAGCAGCCTTCCTAGTCAGGGTCTGCCACCTGCTGCGTGACAGGAATGGCACTTCATCACAGCAAACAGGAGCCCCACGTGCCCAGCAGAGTCCTGTTGAGGAGAGATGATTCCACAGGTGACCTAACAACTGCCTAGCCCAACTGTCCCCATCCTGTCAGCCTGTAGAGTGGCTGGGCACACAGGTGCAATCAGAGCCTGTGTGGGGGCCCTGCAGCCTGAGATCTTAGGCCCCTCGTCCCCTGTTGCTTCTGACTGTGACTGGGAGAATCCCTTGCCTTCTCTCAGCCTCAGTCCCTGGCCCTCTGCTCTTTAGGTTCCTCCCCACCACGCCGAGCACCTCAAAGCCACACCTTGCCAGAAGTTTCCTGCCAGCTCACAACCAACAAGCCCACCTCTTGAATCAGGTCACACTCACACATGTGCGGAATGTACGCACATGAGCAGAGTGGCTATTGCCAGCTGCTGAGCCGGAGGGACAGGGACACGTGGCAGACAAGGACCAGGGTTGGTATTTTGCATCAGTATCTCTCCTTCAGGCCTGGCTGTGCTCAGAAGTCAAATTTCTTTTCTTGATGGGACAGTAAATCTGAAGGGTCATTAAGGTCACTGGCAAAATAGACTGAAGAATAGTATAGCTCTTTGGGACAGGAAGCTTCTGAAGAGACGAGCCTCTACCAGGTAGGTTAACAAATGGCGCTCGCATCCCTGTTCTAGCCTGAGCGCTGGCTTCTCACTCATTTCCCTATTCCCACCCCTCCAGGCTTGGGTTAGGCTGGGATTGCTTCTGTCCTCCTCCCTGGCTTTCCTGCCTTTATCTGCACCGTCGCCCTTCCGCAACCTTCACGGGCCCCCTAATCCCACTTGGTCCCAGCAGCTCTCCCTTCACATTCACCTTTTGATGGAGTCCCACTGCTTCTAAGACTGGGGACAAATTCCTCAGGCAAGAGAAAGGTGCACAGGCCCAGAGCACCTGGGTGGTAGGATAGCTGGCATTGATGAGCATGATCGGTCAGTACTCAAAGACCCAGCTAGTGTCATGGGACCTGCCCTCCCAGCACCTTTAAGGCAGTAATCAGCAGAAGGGAATTCAAGCAGCCTTGGGAGAAGCACCAGGGTCTGCTTCCCAGCCTTGCCGGCCTCCTCTAGGCCGCACCCGCTTCTGAGCGACACTGCCAGAAGATCCCTTTGACGGGGCCCTGGGAGGTGCTGAGAAGCTCGGCCCCCAGCACGCACCTCTGAAGTGAGCACCAGGCACACAGCCCAGGATCAGGCCTGGGAGGCAGGCAGCCCATCTGCAACCCGCAGGCGATCAGCCCACCTCCATCCTCGCCTCACTGTGACCACAGTGAGCCTGGGGAGGGGCCGCTACTGGCCCAGGACCTCACTCCCAGGGATCTGAGTCCTGGCCTATGCAGGAGCCCTGCTAACCCAACACACACTCGACAAAATGCTCCCTGGGGCAAAGGGACAAGATCCAGGTGGCCCAGGCACAGCTACTGCCAGCCACCTGGCACTTGGCCTGTGCAGTGAACTTCCTTGCTGAGGAAAGGGTTCTTCAGACTGGGACCAGCCACTCAGGCCTGAGCTGGCCCCTGAGCCTGGCCAGTCGCCGAGGCCTCCAAGCATGCAACCTAGAACTCCACAGAGGAGAGTGGTCCCCGCTGCCCACAGCCCTGCACTCTCTACCTAGCCCAACACACTAGCTCTCTGCTCACACCTTGTGCTTAAGATCCAAGGTAGAGGGAACAGAGAGAGAGAAACTACTGAGACTGGAGTCCCACTCACTTCTAGAAGGTGAAGAGCCAATGTTCCACCTCCAGCCACTTACCCTTTCTTCTAGTCTTCCTGGTCTGTGAACCTGGGCTACCCTAGCCCATCAGCCCTGATGGCTAGAGAGGTCGCCCTGTCAGAGCTGTCTCACAGACTGTGACCTCTGTTCACGTGAATCTCTGCTTCTGTTCCCTGAGTGGTCTTACAGGGCTGGACTCCCACCCTCTGTGCCTGGGTCTCATCTGCAGAGTAGCACAGAGCCACCAATCCGATAGGACCATTCCCTGAGTCTCCTCTTGGCAGGAAACCCCACAAGGTAGAGCATGTGCCTCTGTCTGGAATTTCCCATCCCATGGCACAGGTGGCTTAATGGGGGTGGCTATCCTCATTTCCCAAATGGCCCACGTGAGAACATTTTTAGTCACATCAGCCATTCGCTTGACCTTTCTAGTACCACAGACTCCCTTTCTACCTCGACTGGAAAACAATTTCGGACTCTTTGATAATTGCTATATCACTCTGCTTAGGGCCTGGTCCGGGCCACCAAAGGAAAGACTGACTTGTGTGACACCTTCCACACCAGCTTTCCCTCGTGGCACACCCCTGGAGCCCCACCAGACGTGACCCTACTACAGAGCGCCAACTCAGAGCAAAACCTTACACTGCAGATGTCTCTCAGAGCGGGTAGGCTGAGAGGAAAGTAGTCAGAGAAATTGCCCCTGACTGGGCTGGATGAAGGAGATGGGGACAGTCCTCTGTGAATTTAGATGGCTCTGAATGCCAATGAGTGTTCCCACTCCACTTTCCCGCTACTGTGACTTCTGAAAAGTCTGCCCAGCAACCTCCTAGGGAGGGAGCCCACACCCTGATTGGCTACATAAAAGTGGCGAGCCAATGAGAGGGCTGTAAGGAGCCTGATTTCCTGGCCATAGCAAGTCGGGTGTCCTCAGAGGCTAACAGAGGGAAAGCTGGTGTGCACAGATTACCACATGCTAGACGGAGCTCGGGGGAGTCAAAAGCCAGTGACACCAATGCTTGGCTGGTGGGTGAGGAGTCAGAGACGAAGACAGAAGCAGCAGAAGAGGGCACCCTGTCACCTTTAACCCAGAGAAAGTTTCATAGAACCCGCCACATGCACACGTACACAGTTGGGTCACTGCTCCCTGGCTCAGGGAGAGCCCAGTCTCACTCCTCGTCACACTGCACTCAATGGAGGGAAGCAGAAAGCGCAGCAGAGAAGGAAGTTGCGTCGGGGAGTGAGATGAAGAGGGCCGACTGAGGGGCCGGCTTCCCGCTGGCCATGCCCAGGCCTCCTGTTCAAGGTTGGACAACACTAGGGCGATGGGCATGGAAGGATATCTGGCTCTGTGGCTGTCTGGGGCCGTGAGTGCCACCCGACCCTGGGACCGTCACTCACTGTGGTTCTGCCACTGCTCCCAGGACAGAGAGCCCCTCCCTTTGTTTCCTGCGTCTCCTCTGCCCACCACAGCTGGGAAGGGCTGGCCTCTCGCCAAAGACAGGATGAAGGCGAGAGAGAAACCAGCAGGCTGAGTCTGGCTAACCCACAGCCCACCCTCAGACTGGCTGGGCCCACCCAGGCCCCAGGGCCCCGGGCCCCTGGCACCGGCTGTCTGCGCTAATTAGGGGAGAGAGAGGCTGAGTGATCACCTTCTCCCAGACCAAGTGGTAGGAAAACAAGACGGTGCCCAAGCTGTGCAGAGAGGGGTGCTGCTGCCAGGCAGGGACCTCCTGGGCGCAGTGGGAGGGAGGAGGAGCAGAACAATCTTCGGCACTGCCTCTCAGGAGCACCCAACGGTGGTGCACACACAGGAGATGGGGGGCGGCTTGTCTGAGTCTGTGTGCACTGGGCACTGGCCCCTGTGGGCAGGCAAGAGTGGGC